GGCGGCGGCGGTGGCCAGCCCTGCCTGGGGAAAGGCGGAAGCAGCGGCCTCGGGCGACAGCGGCGACGGGGCCGGCCTCTGGACGGCCGTGTTCGAGTACGAGGCGTGCGGCGAGGACGAGCTGAGCCTGCGTCCCGGCGACGTGGTGCAGGTGCTCTCGCAGGACTCGCAGGTATCTGGCGACGAAGGCTGGTGGACGGGCCAGATTGACCAGCGCGTCGGCATCTTCCCCAGCAACTACGTGACCAGCAGCGGGGGCAGCACCAGCGGCCGCCGCCTCTGCCTCCAGGAAGGGAGGAGATCGGATCTCCAGGCCCACTACCCTCCGAGTCCGGCCATACAGTGTAAGAAGGGAGGGCACGGGGCCGGGTGGCGGTTCAGGAGGACGCCCAGTGTTAAACGCCGGGCCCAATACCCCGGGGACGTTGGGGCTTCTTGGGAGAGGCTGCGTTCCCTCACTCTTTCCATGCATGAGCCCATGCAGACGACCACTGGGAAGCCCCCCTTGCCGGTCAGCGACATGACACAGAGGAGCGGTTTGCCTTGTGCTGAGGAAGTTTGCTGAGGGTAGGCTGGTCCTGCATGTAGGCTGCGTGCTTGTCAGTTCAGTAGGAGTGTGACACACTTGACTTGCATGTGGAAACTTCATCCAGGGATGACATTTCTCCCATCTTAATGAGACTGCAAAGACGTGCTCTTGCTTACATGATGCAGAAGACAATCAGATACTTCCGGAGGGTTCTAAGGAAGGGGCGTGGCTATATGTTATCCCATTGATGCTTACCGTCCCCCTTTCGCTCTTTCTTGATCCCAACACCAGTGAACTCTGAGAATTGTATATTCTTCCCCATCCCCTTTTTCTGTGTTCTAGATAAAATAATTAATGTCCGAGTGCTTCAGACCAGGTGCATGTAATTCAGTCTAATTACATTTTTACTGTATAACTTGTTGTTGTTGTTTAGTCGTTAAGTCGTGTCCGACTCTTCGTGACCCCATGAACCATA